ATAATTAGAAGATTCTCTAATATGCTAAATATTTTATAATTAAAATTGTATGTCAAAGTTGAGAGACCTTTAAAACTAATTATTACTTGAAGAAAGTGATCAACTTGCTTTAAATTCTACAAAACTTTATAAGTATTACAATACTTACTTTTGCTAATTTGTTGTTTTCTATCATTAAAAAACCAAACTGTTAAGATCCATATATTAAACATACAATTATTTTTTAGTTAGAAATAATATATTTTATATTTTTTTTTATCAACAAGTATAGTATTATTTTAATGTGCAAGGTTATGGCTAATAGAATTTGTTTTTGTTAATTATGGTTTTGAAATTTACTTTAAAAATTAATTTTGAAACACATGAGTATGATTTTAAATATTTTTTATGAATGTTTAGATTTAAATCTATTATATTTTTTACATATTTGATTTTTTCAAAATTTTTGAAGAAATTAATAAAAAAATTTAGAATAAAATTTTATATATACAAAATACAGTCTATTCGAGCTGGAAAAAAATTAGAATTTAGTAATTTTCAGTTTTTAAAATACATTATATGACTAAAGTGGAATGTATATTGGTAATATTAAAGATAAAATTAAAACAATATATATTCTTAAAGTTTTGAAGCTTGAAAACAAAGGTAAATTAAACTCTACAAAATTTGGTAATTAATTGAAAATTTATGAAACTGTGAGAAAACTTGTACAGACATTTACTGTACACTAAAAAAAAATAAAAACACAAGCAAATCATACTGTTGTAGAAATGACAACTAAAATGCTACATGTACAACACCTCAACCATGAGTTTTACGGAAGAGCAATGAGTAATGTCATTTATACATGTCAATTATTTTCTCCAAGTAATTCTGTATTGTTGATGTTATAATACATTCAAAGTGATAGGAAAAAAATGCATTTAACATACAACAGTTTTTGAATAGATTACATAAAAAAAAAAAAAATATTAATGAATTTGAATTGAATAGAAAAGAAAGCTTGATACAAAAGACCCAAAGCTTCTGTTTTTTTTAGTTATTGTGAAAAAAACCAGTCCGTATGTGCTGATGTATTTGGAAGCCAAAAAGGTTACCAAGAATCTTATTGCACAGCTTTTGGAAGACTGTGAAAATCTGGGCAGCGATATGTATTGGGTTAGTGTTGTTATTTTTTGGCAGAGAATGTGGGTTAGATTGTACCACACATGGGACAACCTATTTTTTCTTCAGAAAATGGCTATAGTTGGCTTCAAAATGTGTCCTTCCAATACCCTGTATCACTTAATGTTGTCACCAGCCATTCATATATATATACATATATATATATATATATATATATATAAATACATATCCCCAACTCTAGTGGTAGCCAAAAAATTCCACACTCAAACAATTCATTCTTCAGAACAGAAAGAATCCGTCAAGTGATGATTCTATTATTATTATTTTATGAAAGACAATGCGAGGGTAGAAGAGGTACACTCTCAACCGCAGGATCCATTCATTTGTGCATGTATTTTGATGGCTTCAACGTACTATTTTCCTATTGGCAATCTGTCTGTGCTATTTCTCTGAGCTTGTACTGGATAAAGGAAAAGAAAAGAATAGAAATTATCACACAGGTACTTCCTTCCTTCTCCTTCGACACTCATTTATTCATTTACTTATTGGTCATGTGTGTATGTGAGAGCAGTGTATCAGACTCAAATCCCGCATTGTGTGTGGACACAAGGAAGGAATGACACGGAACGGAGAGAGAGGGGGACAGCGTTGTTGTGTAGTAGGTCAACTTATGTAACACCCAACTGAGAGAGATAGAAGAGATAGATAGACATGGATAGATAGATAGATAGACTCATAGATTCTTCCATTGCTTCAACAATCAAGCAGCTGCTGCTGCTGCTGCAGCAGTAGTCTTCTGTGCCCACACTGCACCGCAAAAACAACGTGTCTCAAGGAATACAGCCTCGTACACCTGCCACCACCCCCAAAACCATGACAAACGAAACACACCAAAAACGAACACTGGAGACCCTCTGGGTGCCTTTTGGTGCATCATGACAGCATTCCGAGGCACACGCACCCCGAGGCCACTGCGGAAAGAAGAGGAGAAGACTCTCTGTCTCTCTCATCTGACCCAGCCACACAGACAAAACACATAGAAACAGATAAGGAAGAGATAAAAAAACAGAGCCAGCCGAACCCCAACAGCACCAACGGAGAATACTCTCTTGCTCGCAGCGAGTGACGTGGTCTCTCGGCTGCGCTTGCCATGAGCTCGATCTTCGATACACAGCAGCCAGCTTTCCAAGGCTCTCTGCCAAGCTTGATCTACCCCCTGTCAATCTTCCAAAACATTATCGGGCATGTGTGCAAAAAACCCGGGCCTGCAAGCGCTTCGTGTTTGGTTGCACGACGAACTAACTGCAAGTCCAAGCCCAGTTGCAGGCGAGTGCTCGCACTGGTAGACTCAATCAAGCACGTGCGTCGATGCCTTGGTCAGTCCACTCATTCGACAGGGAAGCTCAGGGAATTCAAAGCCCTAACCCCTGCACCATTCCACCAAGGATGCATGAAATAAATCCATTCTTTCATGCATCCACTCATCAATTGATCGTCGTCCCCCTCCAACTCCCCTGTAAGATTGCCGTGCTTGTGTTGAAGAAGTCTGTCATTAATTCTAGAGCATTCAATGGGATTTCTTCTTCTTCTTCTTCTTCTTCTTTATTTATTTTTTGTTGTGAACTCCAGGCTGGTCCTACTAATAGTGTACCCGCTGCATATATTTTTTGAAATTAATCCAGATCGCAGAGGAGATAATTTTTTTTTTTCTCTTCCCTGCGTAATAGTTGATTTTTCATGATTTTTGGTATAGACATGTATGTAGTTTTATTCTTTTTCTGAAGTTACGATATGGTTAATTTCTTGATCGTATACGGAGGAAGGCTTAGAGAACTCTGCAGAGTTGCATTTAACCCGGTATACGATCAAGAAATTAACAATATCGTTCCTTCAGAACCATAGTTCAGCAGATAAGTCCACTAATAGTTCAGCAGATAAGTCCACTAGATTTTTCAGTACATTTTCGTCCAGACATGTGCTGTTCATACTTCAGACACTGGAGAATGTACATGCTGTCCTGCAGAAGCCAAGATTACCACTGTTGGCTCATACATTGCCTAGGGAAATTTACTCTCCTCGCTGAGATCGTTGTCAGATGGAGTAATGAATGCTGTTCCACCTCCGCAGGTGCACATCTTTCACTATCCTATTTGACTTCAAGTCTCGATTGCAGCTTGAATGAGTGTACACATTTTTGTTGAGGTAGATCTACACTTGAATGCGCCTGTTGATGGATCTGAGATGTCATTTTCCTCAGTATAACTGTAGTTGTGCATGTTTAAGGCATCACCACATTGAAAAACCTAGTGAACCAAATTGCTTCTAATCTCTTTTGCCTAGCTTATTATTGTGTGACTTGGTACCGTCACCCTGGACAGAATCGATGCTACAGAAGGCTAAGCATATTGCCGGTTCGTACGTTCTTCACATTCTGCGGGTCTTTGAGTTCAAATCAGGATCTGATAACTGCCAGTAATACTGTAAGCTAATGTACTTCGCATCATAAATTATCTGCACAAAGTCTTGATTCGTTTTTAATCTAATGTGCATGGAAAAGAGTGCAGTAGTATCATCGTCTTTCTCGCCAGGGAAACATGTTTATCCACAAAGAGCTTTCATTTGGAGACTATTTTAGTGGTGAGAGAGGAAACGGGCGACAATTTTTTCGGAGCTACAGATACCTCGGTAATGAACCTTGATTGTGTGCCTTACTACCCTTTTATGTCAACGCTTTCCGATCTTGATGATATTTGCAGTTCTGTATTCCGCTGCTGGAATGTTACTATCAGAATATACTACGACACTGCAAGGTTTCTGTTTCATTCATGTAAACAATCCTTCACGATGTTCTTCGAGCTAGAAGCCATTGATTGAACATTCAAATGCGTCTATGTTTGGATGTAACCTGCCTGCACGCATGAGTAAGGTCCAGAGCAGGGTGCAAGGATGTTCGAGTGAATCCAAACTTCTATTAGTCACGTCAACGTGACTGGTATTGTTGATGATTGATTCTGCTCTGTAGACTTCATTACAGTGAACGCAGTCCTGCTATTCAAAATTCGTCATCAGTCGCCGATAATTGGGTGTTTGTTATTCTATGATTCTCATGATCCGTATTTGTATTTACAGTTTTCTCTGGCTAGGCAGCCACTTGATTGCATCTTGTTGGAATCCGAGATTGACTTCGCAAAGTCAAGCTTGTTCAGGTGCATCACTGGCGACTTAGACATGCAATTACTGGTTACAATATCATGTGTTCCGACCTTAACCAAGCATTCCACCAAAACTTTGATTCATTACTTCACAGTCAAAAGAAAACAAGTTAGAAAGAAAAGAAAAGAAAAGAAATACAACAACAACAACAACAACAACAACAAGGAACATCAGGGTCAAGGTGAAGCATGCCTATTTGTTTGCTGCAACCAATTTGTAGTGACAAGAATCCTAGTTCTTTTGAAATCTTTCTAATTTTACAAGTTCTTTGAAATCCTGTTTATCTGGGAATTATAGAAATGCGTCAATGTTTTACACGAAAATTCTTTCTGTGTATTCTAATTCAGGGTATCAATAATAATAATAATAAATAAAAACTCATTGAGAAAGGGTCGAGCAAAAATTGACGCATCACTTGGTGCCTTTACTGAACAGCGTTTCTATCCACATCTGCATGCAAACATTCTCCGTATGAACAAACTATGATTAGATGACTGATCAAGGAAAATTATCAAGTGACAAAACATCGGCCATGCTCTGGCAGCATAGCATTCTAAGGAGATGATAGATCACGAAAGTTGTGTAAGCACCCATGTAATTGATGAATACGAAGTTGTTACCTTCCCACCCTAGGTATGGAAAAGATCAAACTAACCGTCAGAATCAGAATGTGCAGGCAGGCTTGTGAAACCGTGAATCGCTAATTTGAAATATTACAAAGCTTACTTCATGATGTATTGAGCGTGATCGTTTACGAACAGTAAATGTCAAGTTGATTATCCGAGCTTGGTCGTCAGAGACTCATCCCTTGACTAAACATTTTGCTTCCTAAGCTCCCACAGCAACAGATTTAATGTTCGATTGATAGAATGCGCTACCGAGTGAATAATCTCCATTGAAAGGCAGTTAGAAATTTTGATAAAATTCTGAATCATGTATATCTTGCGAGTTAATTACATTCTAATGCAGTACTCTAGTTCACGAACATGAAGCACAACGAATCAGGAGATTGAATCCGAACAAGCACGTGACACCATCGCCTTGGTCATTGAAGACTATAATCTTTGATGCTTACTCAGAAAATGGGAACTCGTGTTAAGAGATGGTTTTGCCTCATGACGACCGGTTCGAATATGCTGCCTGAAATATCACATCGTGCTTTTCGTGGACGAAGGAGATGTGTTCTCGTGCGTGCACACTGCTTTGGCGGCGACGTGAGAGGTCATTGATCATGAAAGAACTGTGTAACAAACTACAGTCGTAATGGCTTAGTGCGTGACCCGATGCTGATGTATTTAGTAACTCCTGGTATTGATTTTCACTGGATTGTTCCAGTTTTGGTGAAAGTTTGCTTGTATAGGTCTTGAGTGCAGGCCGATTTGGAGTTACTTCGTTTCTGGCAACCTGTTACCTTTCTCATCATACAATACAAGTCCCGAGAAAGAAAGTGGCTTACAACGTTCACCGCGCAGAATCGGTCTCTGCCACACAGCACCTCCATCATTCGCATTGTCTGAAGTTTCATTGTTCTGCATCGCAATTTTGTGTGATTCAGTAGAATCACATTATCCTGATTTTTGGGCAAAAAGAAGGAATGCTGAAATTCGACAGATCTAGCTTAGCAAACACAAAATATTCGGATATACATTTTGAAAATATAGCAACGTGTAAACTGAGCAAGCCACAATGAATCTACTTCGACGAGACAAATGTTTGCATCGCCACCACTAACATGGGATTGCAGTTCTATTCACTCGCGGTTGATGCCTAGCATCTTTGCAACTTACAGATCTTGAAAACATGGATCTGAGGGAACTTCTCTTGATCAGGAGATTGCTGCTAAACGTCTCCCCAGCATTTCTTAGCTTCAACTTCTCCGCATCTAATTCCGAATCGTCATGAAGTATTTTATGCGGCGCAAATCCGGTGCACAAGCCTATCAAAATGGTAACACATACGACGAAAACAAGCGCACTCACTGCAATGTTGAGAGTCCCTGTCCCTGCGATTGAGTTCTCCATTGCGACTAATGCCCTCGCCATCTTTAGCACGAAGCTCCTGGATGAAATTCAACAAGAATTTCATAGACCGAGATGCGAACTGCACTCTGAACTCCCACAACCAAACACAGACTCTTCTCCTTTTGTCAACACTTGTGCCTCTGCAGATCATCTACATGAACATACGTCATTGAATTGTAAGATTCAATGCAAGAAAGATTCAGGCCACGCTCTCTTACTCCAACACTCATTCACAAAAAGCTTCAACATCAAGAGTCAATTTGCGCCGATTGAACAAGAAGCTTGGAGAGCCTGCCTATGCGCTCCAAGCCAATTACTCTACATGCTGTTGCAGATTCCAGCGCTGCGCTCATTTGAACAGCAATGGGTCAGCGTCTAGTTTTCATGCCTAGTTGGTTCTGAATTTCACATGAGGAAATCCCTCAACGTGGATTCTAGCTGTTGTAAATGCTTATAATGTTACGATGTAATAATAAAAAAATGATTTTATTGCTACGTCATCACTGTTCTTATGCTCATTCAATTGTCTTAATTTTAATTTTTGATTTTATAAAGCCTTACATTTTATGCCGATTGTTAATGACGAAGGAAATTTTGATAGTTACGAGTAGATTATTTTGAAATATTAGAATCATTGCTTCTTAATATCAGTAAGAAATGATAGAATTCTCATAGACAGGATAAAGCAAGAAACTTTATCATAAGCAATAACTGTGTCTTCTAAAAGTGTAATATATGTGTGTGAGTATATATATATATATATATATTTATACATACATGTATAGTTGTTTAAATAAACAGAATATTATTTCATTTTGAAGAGTCCATTCACACCACAGTTTATATATATATATATATATATATTCATTTTTGCAAGGTCATGGAGGTGGTTGTAGACATGTGAAAGTCTCTTGTAGTTTAAAAAGTAATAAAGAATGTTGGTAAGAGGATGTTTCTATTTTTATTCTAATACCATAAATGACCTTGAAGTCATAACCGTTCAATGGTTGGAGGTGGCATTTTCAACTACCAAGAGGGCACATGATGAAACAATATTATTTCAAGTATAAGACACAAGTTAACTGTTCACCTATCTTCGAAAAAGCTAATCAATTGTGTTAATAAATTATATTCATATAATGTGTCGAATATATATAACTATATATATAGGATGTTAATCTGGTACATAATTTGTATGTGGGCAGCATATAATAAGTTGGTGACAAGTAACAATTTCACAAATTTTTGATAATTTAACCAACATTGGTAACAAATATTCTATTTAGGATTATAGACTGATATGCTTTATGTACCATTTTGATAATAATGGTGACATTTAAAAGAATATCAATATAAATATTCAAAAAATAATGGGAATTTGGATTTTTTAAATTTTAAGCTTTTATTATCTTAGAAATGATAATAGTGTTGAAAAATATATCTATGTGTGATAACAAGAGTTTATATAATGACCATTATTACTCAAAAAATAAAATGCATGGAAGTATTTGGCTCATTACCTACATGAATCAATAAAAACACAACTGATTGATAACAACATCAAATCAAAGCACCATCTGGTTACAGTTTTAATATATTATCATTTAGACCTATCTACATGTATTGATATCCTTTCATATGTCACCATTGTTTTTGTTATCTATGTATTGTCACCTATTTTATTTTTGAATTTTCTTTTTTCTAACCGCTGTTATTGATGACATCTTCTGTACATTCCATGAATATGGTACTTGTTTTCATATTCCATTTACTTTTTGAAATTAATCAATCGGAAATTTTCTCAGCTTTTTCTACCAAAATTCCCCCATCTTCAATTCAACAATACATCTCATTCTTCCCCTTGAAATTCATTTATTCTTTCTCAAGTGGAAGTGTCTTTTCAACTGTAATCAGTGCAATCTTTTTTGCATTTTATCAATAAAAAAAATTAAAGGTTTGATGTAGGAGATTTAGTAGAATTCAACTTTTGGTTGTTTATAGGATATAAAACTGGTGACTATGATATATATATATATATATATACATATTATAAAATACTACTAAATTATGTAAGGATGATAATTTGAGCTATTAATAGCATCTACAATGTACAAGTCAATTTCCAACAAAATATTACATATAAAAAATTATATATATATATATATAAGAAAATGTTAAATAGATCAAAGTTTTTACTAAATTGTCTTAACCATCATAAAAAATAATTATGACATCTAGATGTATTTCTCCACTATTATTTGCAACCAATAAAAATAAACCTTATTCATCATGATTATTATATTCTTCATGAAGGGTGGATCTATTTAGTAAAAATGTGAGACTATTTAACAGTCTCTTTTACATATCAAAATTAAACAATAATGATAAGTCTTCTATTTTAATTAGTCATTTTTCAAAAGAATATTATAATATATATTTTTTATATATATAATATTAGAATCTAAAAAAGAAGATTATAGAAAAATTTCCATTAATTACAATAGATATCTTAGTTAAAAAAAAATACAAAATCATATGCATAGGAAAATTAACATATAATAAAGTTATTTTATTCTAATTTGAATAAACTTCCAATTGAGGTTCTATCAAATTGAGCATTAAAATTGCTAAACCTTCTAAAAATAATCAATAAGATATCTTATACATCCATTCAATAGGACATACATTATGTTCTAAGGATATTGTTCCAAATCTTTTTGCATCTTTTAAAATTCTATAGTATGATGGACATACATATTTATATTATAAATTACCTAGATTAGAGGAGTTAATAGAAATAAGTAGAAGTAAATAAATTTGATAATATCTTGTGGATAAGCTTCTTAGAAACTTTATAGATGTGGATTTGACTTTCCGGATATTGATAGGTGATTGATAGATTGAAAACTTGGCCAACAACTTGGCCACATGTTGCACATATTGGCTACTTGTGGTATATATATAAACTTATCTTGCAAGTTAGACATATATTCTACAAGTTGGATATGTATTGGAAGTCTTATAAAAGGTCATCTCATAGATTTAATTACATAGTATATATAGAAGTAAAAATGAGATATTTTTTATTTTTGTCATTTTTTTTATTTTTATTTTTATTTTTTTGAATAGTTTGATTTCAAGAGTCTACATTATTCTTGTCTTTAAAAATAGTCATTTCAATTTCTTCTTAAATATGTATAATTTTTTTTTCACATCTTTATTTTTATTTTTTAAGTTTTTATCTTTTCCATTTTGACAAGAATGCTAATTCACTATACTTGCATTTGTCTTAGAAGTAAATGGATTATTTCACTTCTTTTATTATATTTTAAAGATTACATATTATCTACCTTCAAATTAAATTCTTTGTTTTTTTAATATTGATTTCATAAAAAAGAACAAACTCTATTTATTTTATATTAGAAATCATAGATTATTATATTGTAATTATATTTATGGATTTATTATAATTATTTATTAAAAAAATAGAAGAAAAAAATATGGATGCTACATTTGATAGAAGTAGGAATATATTTGTAATTATTGCAAATCTTCATGAGCTTGTCAGCACTTTTAGGGTGGAAATTTTATATATTACTAATATCAATCATAGAAATATTATTCTTTTGTCTATAGATAAAGTCAACAATGAAGTCTAATGTCTCTGCTAAGAAGTTGTATAATTGAAAAAAATAAATCAACCTCATAAGTGAATTTAAAAAGTTTTTTTACTATAAGATGAGAAAGATAAAGATTAACATGTTAAAATAGTTTTATGGAAAAAGATCAAAATTTAAAAGATTTCTACAATAAGTTAAGTCCTATCTAAAATCACATTCTTTTGAATATCTTGATAGATTCATTCAAGTTGGATTTATAGCCATATTTCTATTTAAAAGTGCTCTCTTCTAGTATGAATCTTTGATTGAAAAAAAATTGCAACTTCTATATGATCTAAATTTCTTCTTTAAAGTGTTTATGGCCACATTTAGAATAAGTGATCAAAAAAGATAGTAAAGATAAAATACTTATTTTTACAATAAGGATTGTAGTTTGTTATTATTTATTCTATCAAATTCTAAAATCTTACTTGTAATGTAGACTAAAATAATAAAGCCTTTGTTAATCAATTTTAATATAGATTTAAAGATAATTCCAAAATATTTTTTTGTTAAAAATATCAAAAATAGTCTCATTGAAATAATTTATTACTAAAGCCATTATATGCAATAATTGATGTTTTAAAATATTTCATAAACAAAGATTTGATTGAAGAAGAATAAGTTAAGATATGATAATAATTCCTAAGTTTTTAGAAACTTACTTATCAAGGCCAAAGCCTATAAAAATTAATATGATATAATTTAAATCTCTCACTAAGTAAGAAAAGGCTCAATATTATTAAAATAGATTTTATTTTTATTATGGAGAATCTAAGTACATTTTTCAACATTGTCTAAAGAAGCAATATAACTACAAAATAAAATACATGGTTGTAAAAGAAGATGATGTATATGAAAACGTATTTTTCAAGCTACTACAAGAATCATACAACAAAAACTTTTTGTAATACCTATTAAAAGTTATATTTTCTTTTCAAAATCCTCACCTCATTTTATAATAGATATTTTTTTAGGACCAAAAAATCAAAAAGTCTTTATATTGTTATATTTAAAAGTCTTGGCTTCTTAATAGATAAAGATTTTATTAAAAAAACATAAAATATTTTTAATAGAAAAAATTAAGCCTATCCATATAGAAGTCATAGATGGACATTTATTATCTTTTGGAGATATTTTCTATTAAATTATTCTTATAAATATAGCAAAAAAAATCTAAAATAATTTAATAATATTTAATGATATTAGATCTATTTCTTATCATATCATCTTAGATTTATATGGTTAAAAAATATATAATTTAAGATTTAATTAAACTTTTTATAATTTTAATTTTTCCAAAAATATAACCAAGACTTTTACTAAGTTAAAAGTCATCATTCTAATACAATAAAATCTTTATTTATAGATACAAGTACTTTCATTTGTAATGTAAAAAGAAGATCATTCTTTATTATTTATGTTGTATATATTGTTAATAAAAAATAGGCTTCAAATAATATTTTTATTTATAACAAAGAATATTAAGACGTTTTAAGAAGAAAAATGCAAATATTGTTCCAAAGCATAGTCTTTGTAATAGCTTGATTGATCTTTAGAAGGAGCTCAACCATCACTTAGACGAATGTATAATTTATTACAAAATAAGTTAGATGTACTTAAAGAATGTATTGATAAGAATTTGGCCAAATATTTTTTATACCATTCAAAGTTTCTAATACAAATATATATTTCATTTATAAAGAAAAAAAAATATTATTATAGATTTATATAGATTATTCAAATTTAACAAG